GGAGGACAAGTAACTGAGACACATGGAGCATTCACTGACCACAGGACAAGTAGCTGAGTCACATGGTGCGTTCACTGACCACAGGAGGACAAGTAACTGAGACACATGGTGCATTCACTGACCACAGGAGGACAAGTAACTGAGACACATGGAGCATTCACTGACCACAGGAGGACAAGTGGTGCGTTCACTGACCACAGGAGGACAAGTAACTGGGTCACACGGTGCGTTCACTGACCACAGGAGGACAAGTAACTGGGTCACACGGTGCGTTCACTGACCACAGGAGAACAAGTGCTGCGTTCACTGACCACAGGAGGACAGAGACATAGACCTGCTCTGCCCTGTGACAGTCCTCAGGTCCAGGTCTGGTTCTAGTCCTGTGGGTTTGTGTCCTGATGGATCCGACCATTTTAACCTGCTGAGACGTCGTTGACCCTCACAGGCCACCGTACCTCAGAGCGGGCCACCAGCTGCTGTTGTGTTCAGGTGTCTGCTACCAGGTCCACGTAAGACGCAAGAACCTCTGTCTGGAACCAGAACCAAACCTTCACCTGTCCTACAGGTGCGGGCAGCCTCACCAGAACCTTTCATTTATAATAAACGAGCAGAATCAAGTCATTTATGAACGAGACACCTGAGCACCTCTGACGTCAGCAGAACCACCTCGGTTCTGCAGGAACTTGCAGCACGGTCCGGGACCGTACCGGACTGCGGGTCCTACCTTCTATGGCGATGACGTGCTCCCGGATCTGGTTCTGCAGGTGCGGCTCGTCGACCCGCTCCAGCAGCTCGTAGATGGAGTAGATGTTCGGGTGGACGGACTCGAACCTGTGGATCTCGGCGCGGATGGCGGCCGAGTTGGCCTGGTGCTGCTGGTAGTTCATGCCTGGTCCCCGCAGACTGTGGATCAGGACGGTGGAGGATCCACGAAGACCCGATTCACGCCTTCTGGGTCCTCATCAGCAGCGTAATGTGGTGCGCTTGTTTTATGACCCAGGACACGGCCTACATCCCCGGGGGTTTGAATCCGAGCGGTGCTTCCAGCGGCCGGCTGCTACAGTCCGGGGCAGGGGGGCGCCCCGCTCCTCAGCTCCGCTGCGGTGACAGATGTGCGGCGGGCCGAGAAGTTCCGCTCCCCCATGTCCTTCCAGCCCCGGCGGGACTGGAGGGGCTCTTCCTGGCGTGTGTCCGGATTAAAGGAGTCTTTCTCCGGGACTGTGGCTCATCCCTGACCGGAGCAGCGGGGCGGCCTTGTTGTTAGCAGGCTAAGCTAACTAGCTGCAGCTCCCAGCGGGACCACCGGGAAACATGACCGACTTCCAGGCGTCTCCGTCCGCCTCACATCCGGACAGACAGCGGGGCTGGATCCCCGGACCGGACACTGGAGCGGGCCTGAGGTCCGAAGGAGACCAGCATCTGCTGGTGGCGGCTCGGCAAACACCTGGTCCGGGCTTAGTTCGGCTCCCGGCTCCGGTCCCTCCGTCTTGTTTTGTCTCCGCTGCGTCCAAAGATCAACTCCCTGGTTCGGTTCTGATTTTTAAAAAGTTCGAGTTCGTCCGGGTCCGTTAAAGCGGTTCCTCTGTACCACGCAAGTCCCGAAAACTGGACCTAAAGACTCCACTGATGCTGTCTCCAGTAGGTCCAGCAGAGACCTGAGCCTCCAGAACCGAGCCGGGATTTCCTCCAAGGATCGGATTACTCACGACCAACTAGGGAGTTCCGGTCTGGACTTTCAAAATAAAACCCCAAGTCCATGTCGCGTTTCGTGCGAGTTTCTTTGTGGATCAAAGAGTCTGCATGTTCTGTAAATCACTTTAACATCAAAACACGCACAGCGTGAAGCCAAGAGGCTAAAATGATTAACATAGCTAAAAGCTAAAAGCATCGTCAGAACAGCGACAAGCTAAAATTTAAAAAAGGTAGCTCAAAGCTAAAACCATCTCAAATGTAGCTAAAAGTTTAAAAGAAGCAGGTTTGCTGAAGTAACTTGAGTTTTTAAACATTTGAAGAGAAGTTTGTTCATTTCTAAAACGAACTGTAAAATTATGAAATAAAAAAGTTAAAACGCTACAAAAAGTCAACAGTCACTGCCGTAATGTTCTGAATGAGCTGAAGTAGTAGCTGAAGTAGTAGCTGAAGTAGTAGCTGAAATTAGCTACAGTAGTTATGGTAAAAAAAATTAAAAAACTGAATGCCAACTCGGCTTTCACAATAAAGTAACTAGGTGTCTAATTTAGGCCTGTATTTTGAAAACCTAATAATTCGTCTTCCTGTTTTGGTTCAATGTTTCAGCACATTTAGACAAATATTTCTTGTGGCTTTAAAAAAAACAACAAAATATTTTTCTGGGTTATTTCATAACTTCCACCTCCTACAAAATAAAAGCACATGCTGAAAACTGCTGCACGGGTTAGACTTTTATTCTGAAAAACAAAAGCTAAATTAAAATAAAACGTTATTCAAATGTTCAACAACAAAAGTTGAATTAAAATTCTTCATCTTGAGTCTGTTTGGACGAAGACAACTGATCCACCTCTGCTTGAGGCCCCGGTTGGGTCTCTAGTTCTGTCTCTGGTCAGTTGAGTCCCCGGTCCGGTCTCTGGTCCGGTGGATCCGGTACCTTGTGTCCATCCAGCAGTAAAGTGTGTCTCATGCCGCTCCTCTTCGTCCCACTGCTGCTGGTCTTGATGCAGCAGCTGTGGTCGCCCAGACTGAAGTGCGTCTCCGTGCCATCGTCCACAAACTCCCCCTGAGGACAGACAATGGGGACAAAATCAGGACACCAGTGGAAAACCAAGAGCACATCCGGAGAAAACAGACGTTAAAAACTAAAACATGGAAGACAAAGACAGTCTTCATATAGAACCCATGTCCAAATGTCTTCTCGTCTGGACTTCAAACCAAGACTGTCCCCTTAATAGACACACAGGGTCTCACCGTTGAGTCCATCTTCTGTCCGTTGCACCAGATGTCCATGGTGTCCTTTTCTGTTGGACAAAGGAGATGGTATAAGTCCAGATCCAGAGCAGTTGACTCGATCCAGGTCAGACTCTGCTGTGATGCTCGTCCTGACCTGTGGACTCACCGAGGACGATCCTATGGTCCGTCCCGTCCACGTGGACGGCCCAGGTCTTCGTGGTCTTGGCTCTGTTGCTGATGAAGTCCTGCAGACTCTTCCCGTCTACCAGGAGGGAGTACTGGTAGGCCAGGCCACTGGCAGCCTCAATGCTGATGGTGGCTCTGGTCTTGGACAGTCCCACCATGAAGGTCTCCGTCCCCACCAGCTTAAACATCCAGTCCCTCCTGAGGACTTCCTGCTGAGACACATTCAGGACAACCCGTCTTCTACCAGCACTTTCATAGATTCATCATCTCTAATGAAGTCCTGACTGTCCCTGGACCCAAACCTTGTCCTCAGGACAGGGGGACAGGTCCAGCCAGAACCCCCATCCAGACCCACGCTGGACCTCACCTTCCCGTTGACGTAGACGACGCGTTTCCCTGTGGTGGTGCCGTGACAAAACTCCACCCGGTGGACACGGTCACTCAGTCCCACGTCCCACACGGCCACCGCGTCTCCACGTCCTGGACTCATGGACAGTCCACAGGGAGCGGCTGAGTCTGGATCCGAGTGGGTCTAAGAGGTCCGGTTCTGCAGCCTCAGGGTCTGGTCCAGTTGTGCAGCCTCAGCAGGAGCTGCCTTACTGTAAGAGGCTTAGAGCGGACAATCAGGACGAGGAGGACACGTCCCTCACATGTCAAATAATCTGACCAGTGAGGCGGCGCAGTCGGCCATCTTTGATTTTTTTTGCTGACAGATGTTGACAGATGTTGAAGGCTGCAGATGTTCGTGCACAGCGCCCCCTGCAGGCGCAGCTTCAACTCAGACACGGTTTAGTTCAGTCTAAATGTTTATTAAAGATCAGAAGAGAAAATAAAGTTTAACACTTTAAACACAAGACAACAAACTGATTAACTCATAAATAAACAAGTATTTGATTTTATTTTGAAAAAGGTCAAATGTTTTCACCATTTTTACATTTTGAGCTCAAACTTAAGAAAAACAAGATTTTTTTTTAAATTAGATGTTTTATTAACAAACAAAATCAAAAACATGCAAACATACATATCTATAACTTGAAACAAACAAGTTGATTTTATTTTAGTGACATTTACTTCCTGGGTGGAACTCCTTTCAGAGTAAAAGCCCACTTTAGTGTGGGTTCAGTGAACTTCCTGTTGGATCAGGGAACAGAAGTGTTCCCTGCAGCGCCGGCTGACAGTCGTTCTCTTTCTCACTCGTGAGCTTTGGTTGTGAACAAGGTGCTGCAGGTGGTTCAGACACCGTGACGTCAGGAAGCCATGAAGAAGAAAACGTTGTGAAGAACCTCAGAGGTTCAGAGCACGCAGCACGGCTTCTTCTTCTTCTTCCCACTCGCACCGTTTTTATCTTTGCTCTCGGACATCTTCTTCTTCCGCACCTCCCTCATCAGGTCGAAGAACACCTGCCGCACAAACACAGGGAACTAAAACACCTGCCGCGCAAACAGAGGGAACTAAAACACCT